ATTTTCATTTTCATTTGTCAAATATGCTGTTCAATTTACCTTGCAATTTCTTCTTTGATCCATTGGTTATTTAAGAATATGTTGGCTGGGCACAGTGGCTCACACCTGTAATCCCAGCACGTTGGGAGGCTAAGGCGGGCAGATCATGAGGTCAGGAGTTCGAGACCAGCCTGGCCAGCATGGTGAAACCCCATTTCTACTAAAAATACAAAAAAAAATATTAGCTGGGCATGAAGGTGCATGCCTATAGTCCTAGCCACTCGAGAGGCTGAGGCAGGAGAATCACTTGAACCTGGGAGGCTTAGGTTGCAATGAGCTGAGATCGTGCCACTGCACTCCAGCCTGGGCAACAGAGCAAAACTCCGTCTCAAAAAAAAAAAAAAAGTAAAATAAAAAACAATACGTTGTCTGAGGCCAGGTGCAGTGGCTCATGCCTATAATCCCAGCACTTTGGAACACTGAGCGGGGCAGATCACCTGAGATCAGGAGTTCGAGACCAGCCTGGCCAACATGATAAAACCCTGTCTCTACTAAAAATACAAAAATTAGCCAGGCTGGTGGTGGGCACCTGTAATTCCAGCTACTCGGGAGGCTGAGACAGGAGGATCACTTGAACCCTGGAGGTGGAGGTTGCAGTGGGCCGAGATCATGCCATTGCCCTCTAGTCTGGACAACAAGAGCAAAACTCCGTCTCAAAGAAAAAAAAAAAGTTTGGTTTCCACATATATGTGGATTCTTTTGCTGTTTATTTCTAGTTTCATTACATTTTTATCAGAAAAGATATTTTGTATGATTTAAATCTTTTTAAACTATTAAGACCTATTTTGTGGCCTAGTCTGTCCTGGAAAATGTTCCATGTGTACTTGAGAAAAATGTGTATATCTTCTTGGTGAATTGATGCTTTTATCATTACATAATGTTCATGCACCTTGTACCAGTTTTTGACTTAAAGTCTATTTTGTCTGATATTGCTATAGTCACTCCAATCTCTTTGGATTACTGTTTGCATAGAGTGCTGTTTTAGGGGGAAAAAAACCTCATCAAACCGTGTTTTTCTTCTGCTTTCAAACTACCACAATAGTCATCAACACAGAAGACGTCTGCGACCAAACTGTATGGGATTGTCCCCACCAACAAGCAGTGGACACCAGCTGGGTATCCTCCGATTAAATTCGGATACTGTCTACCTGAACCTAATGTCAGACCCCACAGGTTGAAGGCTCAGTCCCCAAAACTGCCCACCCACCTCCCCACCCCCTGGCAACCACTAGTTACAACTCTGGGCCTCCAGAACTTCTGACAGGCTTCAAGCTGGGGTTCCCTCTTTGGGATGGATTAATTTGCTAGAGGGGCTTACAGAGTTCAGATAAGCACTTAACATTTACCAGTTTATTCTAAAGCAGCTGTCCCCAGGCTTTTGTCACCAGGGACTGGTTTTATGGAAGAAAAGTGAGGGGAGATTAGATTCTACCTTGGGGCAAGTGAATGGAAGACAAGAGGAGTCAGAAAGATCCTGTTTCCTGAGACCTATACCTAGGGCCTAACATATCCAACATTATAATCAGAGGTACCTTTTAAAATTTTTTTACTTTCAACCTAATTTGTGTCTTTATCTTTTTTTTAAACGGAGTCTCGCTTTATCACCCAGGCTAGAGTGCAGCGGAGCAATCTCGGCTCACTGCAACCTCTGCCTCCGAGGTTCAAGTAATTCTCCTGCCTCAACCTCCAGAGTAGCTGGGACTACAGGTATGCACCACCTTGCCCAGATGATTTTTGTATTTTTAGTAGAGTTGGGGTTTCACTATGTTGGCCAGGCTGGTCTTAAAAGTCCTGATCTTAAGTGATCTGCCTGCCTTGGCTTCCCAAAGTGCTGGGTTTACAGGCATGAGCCACTGCACCTGGCCCTATTTGTGTCTTTTTTTTTTTTTTTTTTTTTGAAATGGAGCCTTGCTCTGTTGTCCAGGCTGGAGTGCAGTGGCATGATCTTGGCTCACTGCAACCTCCACCTCCCAGGTTCAAGCAATTCTCCCTCCTCGGCTTCCAAGTAGCTGGGATTACAGATGCATGCCCCCATGCCAGGCTAATTTTTGTATTTTTAGTGAAGACAGGGTTTTACCATGTTGGCCATGCTGGTCTCGAACTCCTGACCTCAAGTGATCTGCCTGCCTCGGCCTCCCAAAGTTCTGGGATTACAGGTGTGAGCCACTGTGCCCTGCCTCCTATTTGGGTTTTTAGATCTAAAGTAAGTCTCTGTAGACATCCTCTAGTTGAATCATATTTTTAAAAAAATCTATTCTGCCAATTTATGTCTTTAATTGGAGAGTTTAATACATTTATATTTAAAGTAATTACTGATAGGGAAGAACTTACTATTGCCGTTAATTTTAAGTCCTATTGCCTTTTTTGTCCTTTATTTCCTCCATTATTGCCTTACTTTTTTAATTGATTTTTTTTTTTTTTTTTTTTTTTTTTTTTTTTTAAACCATTTTTAAGGACAATAGCTGTGTGTTCACACTTCTGCATTTTATAAATGTTACTGTAATTTTCTCAAAAGGAAGAATTAAATTTTGGGAATCAGTGGCCTCAGAACCTTGCAAAAGAAGTTCCTTTAGTCCAGGTATTTGAAAGATGGCTCTCTAATTTTCAAGGATAGGGTGATAAAGGCCAACCCTTCCTGTTAGCCATTCCAGGCTGGTAATGTAACTATTCAGGCACACCTTCTCACTCATCTCAGGCCTTCTCAGGGTAACAATGAAAATGTCCCTCACTCTGAGCTCCAGTGACTCTCCCTACAACTTGGAGATGAGAGGCTAGACCAGAAAAGCTCAACCTGAGTGACCCTGCCCCCGGAAATGATTGGCAAAATAGAGTGCGTGTCTGGGTGTGGCTTTTCTCCTGGGACAGGGGAGTGGCCAGTTGTAATTAGAATTTTTAATGAGATGCAGTATCTAAAAAATGAAAAGAAGCAGAAGAATTAAAAAAACAGAGGTGTAGATTCAGACACAGAGACTATGTTCAAACGCCTTTCTCTGTATTAGGATATCACAGCTAAATCTAAAGCTAAATCTAAAGCAGGTCATGTTGGTCCCTGGTAGGGAACCCTCCACTGGCTTCCCGTCCTCCCCAGGACAAAAGCCCGACTCCTCAGTATGGCTCCACAGCCCTGTGTCCAGGGCCCCAGCCAGTGTCCAGCCTCCTCCTGGGAGCCTGTGCTCATCTCATGACTCCCTCTGCCCCAGTCACATTTGCTTTTCTGTTCACAATCACCAGAACCTTTCCTGTCTCAAATTGTCCCTGATATTATGCTATGTCCCTAAATGATGATGGCCCTGTTCCTTTCTCGTTTTTCAGGTCTAGGCTCAGAGATGTCTCCCATACCCCCACCCCTGTCTGAAGCTCCCTCTGCCTGTCAGGCTCTGTCACATTACTCAGGCTTTATAATCTCTGCGTCAATCACATCAGAAGCACCATTTTTTTTTTTTTTTTTTTTGGAGAGAGAGTCTCACTCTATCATCCAGGCTGTGAGAGCAGTCTCGTGATCTTGGCTCACTGCAACCTCTGTCTCCTGGGTTCAAGTGATTGTTGTGTCTCAGCCTCCGAAGTAGCTGAGATTACATGTGTGTGCCACCGGGCTCATTTTTATATTTTTATATTTATTTTATTTTTGAATCTCACTCTGTGACCCAGGCTGGAGTGCACTGGCACGATCTTGGCTGACTGCCACCTCTATCTCCCAGGTTAAAGCAATTCTCCTGCCTCAGACTCCCTAGTAGCTGGTATTATAGACACCCACCAACCCGGCTCCTTTTTGTATTTTTGTTAGAGTTGGAGTAACTCCTGACCTCAAGTAATCTGCCTGCTTCGGCCTTCCAGAGTGCTAGTATTACAGGCATGAGTCACTGTGCCCGGCACAATTTTTGTATTTTTAGTAGGACAGAGTTTCACCATGTTGGCCAGGCTGGTCTCAAACTCCTGACAGATCAAGTGATCCACCCGCCTCAGACTTCAGACACAGACATGCACTAGCATGCTTGGCTAAGTTTTCGTGTTGTTGGTAGAGATGAGGTTTCACCACATTGACCAGGCTGGTCTCAAACTCCTGAGCTGAAGTGATCACCACCTCAGCCTCCCTGAGTTCTGGGAGTACAGGCATGAGCCACTGCACCCAGCCTCTGTCTGGGCTTTGGTGAGGGCTGGGTCTGTGCCCTGAAGGGGAGCTCATTCCAGCCCAGCTCCCCACTGATGCAGTGTGTGTGTTGGGTGTCTCCAGGAGGGAAGCAGGTTCTGAAGAAAGGGGTCAAAAAATCACTTAGTTTTCTTGTAGGAGTTTATTGTCCCTGGTGCAGTGGGCAGCAGAGGGAACCGTATTTCCTTAGGTTAAGGTCTCCTTTGTATGTGTCATTATGTTACAGAGAGGGGGTGTGTTGATTCTGAGCAACAAACAACACATTTTTGACATTCAGGATTGACTTCTTATGACTCTTGATACGTGAGGAAGAACCCCGGAAGAAGAAGAGGAAAGCAAAGGAGTCAGGAATGGCTCTTCCTCAGGTGAGATGATATTCTCGGTGGATTGTTCTGTCTCCTTCCTTTCAGAAATGCTGGGCCTTGGAGTTGGGAATCTTCTCTGAGTCTGAAGCATCCTGCCTGACACATTTGCTGGCACTTACCCTTGCCTTCCCTCAGTCCCTTATCTCACTTAGATTCCACCTCCCGTGACCCAGTGACATGAGCTTGGGAAGAGGCTGCACTGGGCATGGTCCTGTGAAGGGCTCACCCCAGACGTGGATGGAGACGGGGTGTGGGCCCCGTAGTGTCAGGGCTACTGGGCAGCAGGGATTGTTCAGGGGCCACATCTGGATGTACCGTCAGCTCTCTGTAGACCAGGAGTAGAGCAGCTGCCTATGGAAGTTACATATTAATGTGCACAAAGGACGTGGTAAATTTTCTTTTCTTTTTTGTGTTTTTTTTTGAGACGGAGTTTCACTCATGTTACCCAGGCTGGAGTGCAATGGCGTGATCTCGGCTCACCGCAACCTCCGCCTCCCGGGTTCAGGCAATTCTCCTGCCTCAGCCTCCTGAGTAGCTGGGATTACAGGCACGCACCACCATTCCCAGCTAATTTTTGTATTTTTAGTAGAGACGGGGTTTCACCATGTTGACCAGGATGGTCTCCATCTCTTGACTTAGTGATCCACCCGCCTCAGCCTCCCAAAGTGCTGGGATTACAGGCGTGAGCCACCGCGCCCGGCAGTGCTTCTTTTTTATCCTAAAGGATGGAGCCATATTCTCATTCCACCTATCATCATCGTCATTTATTATTTGAGATGGAGTCTCCCTCTGTCGCCCAGACTGGAGTGTATTGGCATGATCTCACCTCACTGCAACCTCCACCTTCCAGGGTCAAGCAGTCTTCTGCCTCAGCCTTGCATGTAACTGGGGTTATGTAGGTATGTGCACGGCTGGCCAATTTTTAATATTTTTAGTAGAGGTGGGATTTCAGGATGTTGGCCAGGCCGGCCTCAAACTCCTGACCTCAGGTGATCCACCCGCCTCAGCCTACTAGAGTGTTGGGATTACAGGTGCAAGCCACCATGCCCAGCCCACAAATTATTATTAAATGTATATTTTTATATTTAAACATCACGTGATGTATATATAGGTTTTGTGGTAAAGCTCCAAGCAAAGCTGCAGCTTATGCCCTTGACCATAAAGCACCTCCTTCCCCTCCACCCTCCTTCCAACTTCACTGGGAAGACACTAAGGTTAGCTCTGTGTCAGGTGTCATTGCAAGTCACATACATGTGGATTTCTGTGTTGTTATGAGACTTTAGAAAAAATTCTGCAGTAAATTTAAAAAATGTAATATTCTTTGATCTGAGGTTTGGGTCTATATGTGAGGGCTTGTTACAGAAGTAATCTCGTGTCATCATGGTTTGTTGTACAGATTATTTCATCACTTTGGAATTAAGGCCATTACTCAATAGTTATTTATTTATTTTTAATTGTACTTTATGTTCTGGGGTACATGTGCAGAACAAGCAGGTTTGTTACATAGGTATACACATGCCATGGTGGTTGCCTGCATCCATCACCCCGTCATCTACATTAGCGATTTCTCCTAATGCTGTCCCTCCCCATCCCCCCATCCTCTGACAGTCCCCAGTGTCTGATGTTTCCCTCCCTGTTTCCATATGTTCTCATTGTTCAGCTCCCACTTTTGAGTGAAAACATGTGGTGTTTGGTTTTCTGTTCATGGGTTAGTTTGCTTAGAAAGATGGTTTCCAGCTTCATCCATGTCCCTGCAACGGACATGAACTTATCATGTTTTATGGCTGCATAGTATTCCATGGTGCATCTGTGCCACATTTTCTTTATCCAGTCTATCACTGATGGGCATTTGTGTTGGTTCCAAGTCTTTGCTGCTGTCAGCAGTGCCACAATAAACGTACGTGTGCATGTGTCTTTATAACAGAATGATTTATACTCCTTTGGTTATATATCTAGTAATGTGATTGCTGGGTCAAATGGTATTTCTAGTTCTAGATCCTTGAGGAATTGCCACACTGTCTTCCACAGTGGTTGAACTAATTTACACTCCCACCAGCAGTGTAAAAGCATTCCTGTTTCTCCACATCCTCTCCAGCATCTGTCGTCCCCTGACTTCTTTTTTTTTTTTGGATAAAGTCTCGCTCTGGAGTACAGTGGTGTGATCTTGGCTCACTGCAACCTCAGCCTCCTGAGTAGCTGGGATTGCAGGCGCTTGCCACCATACCCGGCTAATTTTTTTTCTTTTTGTATTTTTAGTAGAGATGGGGTTTTACCATCGTTGCTAGGATGGTCTTGATTTCTTTCTTTCTTTCTTTNCTGCCTGTCTGAACCTGTTGATGAATTCTAGTGAATTTTTCAATTCAGATATTAGATTTTTCAGCTCCAGAATTTGTTTGGTTCCTATATAAAATCTGTCTCTTTGTTGATATTTTCATTTTGTTCGTATATCATTTAGGGGGTTCTTTGTGTTTTTCTTTTGCTCTTTAAGCATTTTGAAGATATTTTTAAGACTTTTTTTTATAGTCTGCTAGTAAGTCTGATGCCTTTTATCTTCAGGAACAACTTTTAGAGGGCTATTTTATGCCTATAAGTGGGCCATGTTTTCTTGTTTCTTAGTATGCCTTGTGATCTTTTGTTGAAAATTGGCAGTTGAAAAAGCAGCCACCTCTGTCTTTATAGACTGGCTCTGTATAGGGGAACACCTTCATTTATCAGCTCATCATGAACACTTAAAGTCTTCTCAGGTCTCTTCTGGGTATATGTCTTCCCTTTGTGTGTGCTTTTCTCTAGTCTCCTTTATTTTATTTTATTTTTTGAGATGGAGTTTCACTCTTGTTGCCCAGGCTGGAGTGCAGTGGCGTGATCTTGGCTCACTGCAACCTCTGCCTCCCAGGTTCAAACTATTTTCTGCTTCAGCCTCCCAAGTAGCTGGGATTACAGGCATGTGCCACCATGCCCAGCTAATTTTTTGTATTTTTAGTAGGGAGGGGATTTCACCATGTTGGTCAGGATGGTCTTGAACTCCTGACCTCAGGTGATCCACCCACCATGGCCTCCCAAAGTGCCGGGATTACAGGCATGAGCCACTGTGCCTGGCCCAGTCCCCCTTATACCCAGTTGCTTTTCATGTCTTAATTTCTCTTCAGTGTCATCCCTGCTTCTTCGTAGTGTCTTAGCAGTTCTGTTGTATTTCTCAATCAGTAATCCCTTGCTGTAGGCATCTACAGGTCTGTAGTCCCCCTGAAGCTTTCATAAGTTATATTTCACAGCTTTATCCAGTCTGAGGTGTGCTTTGTTTGGCCATCTGAGCTCTCAGTTGGGTGACACAGAGATTCATCAAACAATCCCTGGACAGATTAGAATGTTGCAAATTTGGCCTGCCTTCTCTCTCTGGTTCATAGGGTAACTGGGGACTAGGTTGCTGCTTCCCCCAAACCATACTGCACAATTCCAGGGAGGGGGATAGGGCAAGTGCAAGTTAAAATGCCATGAAATTTTTTTACTGTTTTGAATGTAATTTTTTCTTGATTTGGCTTTTGCTTGTTGCTATAATCTTTACTGATTTTGAGGACTCCTATAAGGCTATTTTAGCCAGTATTTTGTTTATTTTACATTTATATGGGGGATTTCCAGAAGCTTCCTAGTTTTCCGTCTTGCTGACGTTACTCCTCTAACCCTCCTATTTTAAGATTAGTGCCTTAGTAACCTTAATTGCATTTGAAATTGTAATTCCTTTATGCCATGTAACATAACATATTGACAGATTCTGGGAATTAGGATACACACTTTTTTTTTCAGACATGAGTAAATGTAATGTGGAATCTTGAATTGGATCCTGGAACAGAAAAAGAACATTAGGGAAAAGCTAATGAAATTTTAATAAGATACAGAGTTTAGCTAATAGTAAACTGTAATAGTACCAGTGTTGGTTCATTAGCTATGACAAATGTACATTGGTAATGTAAGATGTAAACAATGGCAGACATAGGATGTAGGGTATATGGGAACAATCTGTACTGTCTTTATAACTTTTCTGTAAATCCAAAGCTTTTCTAAAAACAAATATTTAAAAGAAAATAGTAACTATAGTATATAATAAAACCATGTAGTCCTTTTGAACTGAGATAGAGTATTCAAAGAAGGACAAGCTTAAAAGAGGGACCTCTCCCCACGTCTGAGGTTCAGGCCTCATTGGAGAAGGTATAGCTGCCACCCACTGGGAGGTAGAGACATTTGTTAATTCTCCCAGGCAGGTTGGCCCTCAGTTGCTAGTTGGGCAGGCAGGAAGCAACTCTGGAGTATAGGCAACCAGCATGCAGGTTTTCAGAGGGAAGGGGGTGCCAATGGCCCCCCTCTGCAGTGCAGGTGGGGTGCAGGTGAGCAAAGGAAGTGGGTGCATTAGTTGGGACTAGACGACTAGAGAGTGCCGTGTCTATGTCCAGAAGGCAAGAGACAGGCCAGGCTCTGAGGTCACTGAGTGACTCTCCTCTGGGCACATGGCCGGGCAGAGCACCCACCTCATACCACTTCTTAACTTTGTGGCCCCAGAAGCAGCAGGACAGCCCCTTTCTTCTTGTAGTGTTCTCCAAGCACACTCTACTGAGAAAACTGTAAGCCAAAAGTATCTGAGCAAAGTCTCAATTAGTTTAGGAGTTTATTTTGCCAAAGCCGAGGACATGCCTATGACACAATTTTAGGAGGCCCTGATGACATGTGCCCATGGCAGTCAGCCTACAACTTAGTTTATGAACTGTATCTTTTAGGGAGACATAAGACATCCATCAATATATACAGGATATACATTGGTCAGTCTGGAAAGGCAGGACAACTGGAAGCAGAGGCGTCCAGGTCATAGCAGATTCAAAGGTTTTCTGATTGGCAATTGGTTATTATCTAAAGAGCTGGAATCAAGGGAAAGGAATGTCTGGGTTATAGTAAGGGGTTGTGGAAAAATCAAGGTTGTATTGTGCAGATGAAGCCTCCAGGTAGCAGGCTTCAGAGAGAATAGGTTGTAAATGTTTCTTATCGGATGTAAGCAGTCTGCTCTATCAGTCTTAAGGTCTATGTTGATGTTAATCTTATCGATCCCTGGGCCCCATCCCCCACCCCTACTCCTCCCATCATGGCCTGAACTAGTTTTTCAGGTTAATTTTGGAGTACCCTTGGCCGAGAGGAGGAGTTCGTTCAGATTGTTAGGGGTCTTAGAAATTTAGTTTTGGTTTACAAAACTGAACACTGTTAAGGAGAGATGCTGAAAGGAATTCTGTCAGTTATTGCAGAATATATATTACAGGATGAATTTGCAGCTGAGAGGCAATAAATTGGTGACTGCAACAGTTCCTCACCATCTTCCACAGCTCACACTGTGAGAACCACCAGAGAACTTCCCACAATTTCATCAATGCATTATCTGGTTGACTTGGTGAAGGGTCTATCCTTTGGGCCCCCCTCAAGGTGTGATTCAAAGGTGGCTGAACATATTGCTTG